GAAAAAAGGGAATTTCCAAGAATCATTCCCTCCATCAAAGCAACTATTCAGCTACCAAAAACCATCAAAATCAATTATTTTGTAATGCTGGAATCTAACCAAAAACTTACAGCAAACGGGAATGTTTAGTGAAAAATGAGGCTGGTAAATTTTGACATTTTGCATAGCAGCTGTTATCTCTTATTCCTTTGTCCCATGGTAGTCATGAGGATGCTGATCCACATTTCTGCTATGGCTTACTTGTGCAGCATTGGCAATAAGGACTTTGTCCTCCAAAAACCGGGATTGTGTGTTTTGATCTGTCTAGTAGCTCACTGAAGGACTGGCACAGAAGCTTCATATTGTTTCAACACCTTCAGGGAAGAATGGCTTCCCTGGTGGCATCTGTCACCAAGGTAGAACCTTTAAAAGAATTTAAAGAAATAGATAGTACTTTTTTCTTTTCTTTTTCTTTATTTAATTTTTTATCCAGATATTTAAGGAAATTTTTTTCAAGTCACTGGCTGAACACAGAGATAAAGAAACAGACACATCAGTGATCACATATGATAACGAATATCATATGTGACATTTAACCCCCTAAGAGGGTTAGGGGGAAGGATGGAAAAATATTTAAAGAAATAATGAATGAAAACTTCCCAAATTTGAGGAAAGACACAAATCTACAGATCTAAGAAATTCAGTGTCTAAGAAGCTCAATGACATCCAAGAAGGATGAACTCAGAGACCTACGCCAAGAGACCTACACCAAGACATATTACAATTAAACTGTTAAAATAAATAATCTTGCAAACAGCAAGAAAGAAGTGATTTGTCACATACAAATGAGGTAGGAGGTGGGGCTCAGACACCAGACCAGATTGAGGACTAGCTAAAACAGTGCTGGGAAGAAAACAGCTTTCAATCAGACACACCTACCAGTGTGCCACATCAATTTATCATTACCATGGCAACACCCAGGAGCTACTGCCCAATTCTACAGCAATGACCCAATGACCCAAAAGTTACTACCCTTTCCCTAGACATTTCTGCATAACCACTCCTTAATCTGCATGCAATTAAAGTGAGTGTAAATATGACTGCAAAACTGCCCTAAGCTGCTACTCTCAGCCTATGGGGTAGCCCTGCTCTGCAGGAGCAGTCATGGAGCTGTAACACTGCCAGAATTATAACACTGCCTCTTTAGTAAAACTGTTTTCTTCTGCCTCTGAATTGTCATTGAATTCTTTCCTGGACAAAGCCAAGAACCCTAGTAAGCTAAGCTCCACTTTGGAGTTCACCTGCCCTGCATCACAAGGAATCCTCATTGAGATTAATAACTAGTTTCTCATCAGAAACCATAGAGGCCAAAAAATCATGGGATGATACACTTAAAGTATACTTTTTTAAAATCCTGATCCCTTCACAAAACAAGCAGAGCAAATAGGATAGAAATAAAAAAGAGCTACGGACAACTCAACAAAGGTGGATGACAAGTGGGAGGGGAAAGATTAGTGATTGTAAGATTCTCTTGGGTCTAAGAACCCTGAAAACTAATCAGGAAAATTTCCTTTCCAGGACAGAGTCCCACATTGGGAACAATTGTGAGCAATAGAATCCAAAAAAGAGGGGTGAAGGAAGTACATGAGTCCTACAATAGTGAGAAAGTAGGAAACAGGAAGTAGATTTCAAAAATCACTATGAGGCCATAATTTTGAAAAGTCCTGAGTTACAAAAGAAGAGAGAGTCTTTGAGCCCTGAAGCTAGGTAAACTATCCTGACAAACTCCCAGTCCCCTGCATAGTAAACTCCCCCCAAAAGTTCAAGAAAAGTCCCATCACTTGAACAGGAGCAACAGAAAAAGATTGTGCTCTATCCCATATCAAAATACCACAAGTATTTTCTGCTTAATGTCAGCAATCTTCCTGAATATCAGACAATCTGCATAAAAATACTAATTAGGGGACATTTTCCCTTTATTTTGAATGGTAAAAACTATAAGCATTACATATTAGGGCCACTAAAACACCTAGGGTGTAAAATTTCATAAAGCACTCCCTCTCGGGTTCACAGAAGTGTGATTAAGGTAATAGATGTTCTAGGTGATTTGTAATTTTTCATGCTTTTTCTGTATTTTTAACAGTTGTTTATAATTCCCAAGTAACATTTATCTAATCCAAAAATAATAACATTTCTGTTTTAAAAACATAAAGGACACTTTGGGTCTTGTTTGAAAAGATCAGTTCTTACCCTTAAAGACACAGGTCAGAAACACAGGCAAGTATATTGTTAAAGATGATGGTATAAAAATCTCCCATTCCAACAACCTCAGGAAGACATTAGAATACTCCGTTGCATTCTGAATATGAACATCAGAGCCTGAAGTTTCTGACTTCAAGACCAGGGCTTTTCCTCAGTATTGCTCTGTCCTGGGACTGTACCTTTTCTCTTTTTCTCTTTACTTTTTTTTTTTGAGATGAAATTTCGCTATGCAGGCTGGAGTGCAATGGTGCGATCTCAGCTCATCACAACCTCCACCTCTCAGGTTCAAGTGATTCTCCTGTCTCAGCCTCCCGAGTAGCTGGGATTACAGGCATAAGCCACTACGCCCACCTAATTTTGTATTTTATTTTTAGTAGAGAAGGAGTTTCTCCATGTTGGTCAGGCTGGTATTGAACTCCTGACCTCAGGTGATCTGCCCGCCTAGGCCTCCCAAAGTGCAGGGATTACAGGCATGAGACACTGCACCTGGCCTCTTTACCTTTTTAAAAAAATTTTTAGTTGACAGGTAATAATTGTGCCTTCTCTTTCATGTAAATTTTTGTTGTCGTTGTTGTTGTTTTGAGACAAGGTCTCCCTCTGTTGCCCAGGCTGGAGTGCAGTGGCACAAACACAGCTCATTAAAGCTTCTACCTCCTGGCTTCAAGTGAGCCTGCCACCTCAGCCTTCCAACGAGCTGGGGTCACAGGTATGTGCCAATGTGCCCAGCTAATTTTTTTTTCTTTTTTGTAGAGACAAAGTCTTGCAATGTTGCTCAGACAATCCTCCCTACTCACCTTCCCAAAGTGCTAAGAATACAGGCGTGAGCCACCACGTGCAGCCAATAGAAATTCTTTGATTTTTTTTATAGATTTTTTTCCCCAAGATAAATAGAAAGCTTTTCCCCAGCCTTTTAATTTTTAAAAACTTTTAAGCTTAAGACACCCTTTTCTCAACCCCTCAATCTGGCCCTTCATGTTTGCTCAAAAGAGATTTCTAGAAGCCAATGTGAGAAAGCGGCACACTATATGATTCAAATTATATGACATTCTAGAAAAGGCAAAACTATGGAGACAGTACAAAGATTAGTGGTTGCCATGGGATGGAAAAAGAAAGGCATGAATAGTCAGAGTGTTTGGGTGAAGGAAAAAGGACAAGATGGAGGAAGGTGAACAAGAAGGCACAATCCATGTTGCTTCCGGGTTCTTCCTCACCAACATTCCTGTGCGTGGGAAAATGCAGCCCGCCCCGGGAAGATGCAGATCAACCGAGCATGCGCCAGGTGATGTCAATCCGAAGAGATCCAAACTTACCCGGCCACGCCTACGGAGACGCCCCTATCACGCCCTTATCCTGCCCACTGCCCTCCCCTTTCCAGTACCAATGCATAAAAGTCTGCCACTGGCAGGAGCCAGCGTGACTTCTTCGGCCCCCGCATTTGTGGACCGGAGAACATCACCTGAGAGTGCCGGCGCGACTTCCTTGGCCCCCCACACCCGAGGACCAGAGAACTTCGCCCGAGAGTGTATGCATATTTGCAATAAAAGACTGCTACTTTCTTATGTACTTTGGCCTCATGTTTAATTACTTAGCTCTCCTAAATTAAGTTACATTAAATTAAATCAAAACACAGAGCACAGAGGATTTTTTAGGAAAGGGAAATGATATGGTACCACAACGGTGGATATATGTCATTATATATTTGACAAAACCCATAGAATGTAAAACACCAAAGAGTGATCCATAATGTAAACTACAGATTTTGGGTGACAATTGTCAGGCCTCTGAGCCCAAGCCAAGCCATTGCATCCCCTGTGACTTGCAGGTATAAGCCCAGATGGCCTGAAGTAACTGAAGAATCACAAAAGAAGTGAAAATGCCCTGCCCCACCTTAACTGATGACATTCCACCACAACAGAAGTGAAAATGGCCGGTCTTTGCCTTAAGCGATGACATTAGCTTGTGAAATTCCTTTTCCTGGCTCATCCTGGCTCAAAAAGCTCCCCCACTGAGCACCTTGTAACCCCCACTCCTGCCGGCCAGAGAACAACTCCCCTTTGACTGTAATTTTCCTTTACCTACCTAAATCCTATAAAACAGCTCCACCCTTATCTCCCTTTGCTGACTCTCTTTTCTGACTCAGCCCGCCTGCACCCAGGTGAATTAAAAAGCTTTATTGCTCACACAAAGCCTGTTTGGTGGTCTCTTCACATGGACCCGCATGACAACAATGATGTGTCATTGTCGGTTCGTTAAATGTAAAAGTGTTATACTCTGGTGGAAGATGTTGATAATCAGGGAAGCTGGAAGGGAGGGGTGATATATGGGAACTCCCTGAACTTTCTGCTTAATTTTTCTGTGAACCTGAAACTTCTCTAATAAAATAAATTCTATCAAAAACATAAACAAAAAAGAACAGAGAATGAGAGAGAGGGAGATTTTTTACAAGAATGTATAGAGGTGCTACAAAGGATGACCAGATGGGAACTTTTAGATTCTGGAAGGGCACAGCAGTGCCTCAAAGCTTTCATATGGATATGAGGTGTCATGCACATGGCTCCTATCTGAAAATCTAGTTCTTCTGGTCAACATCTCAGCAGTTTTCACCCTGCAGGCTTAATTAGACTTCCTCTTCCTTATGTCCCTTTCATTTTGAAAGCCCAGTGTTGCCCAGGGGGCATCTCCTTTGTATTTATGAGAGACCTGCATTCTCCCTGGCTCTGTTCTCTCAGGTTCCCTAGAGCTCAGGAGCTCTGAGAAGAATGGAGCCCTCCTGGCTTCAGGAACTCATGGCTCACCCCCTCTTGCTGCTGTTCCTCTTCTGCATGTCTCTGCTGCTCTTTCAGGTAATCAGGTTGTACCAGAGGAGGAGATAGATGATCAGAGCCCTGCACCAGTTTCCTGCACCTGGTTCTATGGCCACAGGGAGGTAAGATGAGAAAATTTGTTGGGGAGGTTAAGGGACAGAAACATGAGGTATTTAAAAAAAAAAAAAAAAAAAACAGCACAGGCTGGTGGGTCATTATGTAATATGCAAAATGCTTTCACACCAATCTCATTTTGATTTTTACAAAAATTCTATGATATGAAGAAGAAAGATATTGTTATTCCTATTTTACAGGTAAGAAAACTGAAGCCAAAAATACAGATGCAACTTTCCTGTGCTACCCACCTCATAAATGACAGAAATGAAACTTGAACCCTGGTCTTCTGATTGAAGGCCAAAGTCTTTACTACTTTCAGGACTCTGGGTGTTGTACAGAGAAATAGACCAAGCCAACTGTTAACAGGAAATATACAAAGATGCTACAGCTTCTAATGAAGCTGGAAATAGGAAAACATGTAGCAAATTAGAAAGGAAAGTAGAAAGATGAGCAGCAACCACAAATTAGTAAAAGGCATGTGGGGCTTTGCTGCTTTGGAGGCAGATAAAGCATGAGTGGGCATATCCAGAGCAAAGACGAGGTAGGGAATCGGTGGTGACTAAGGGTTTACCTTGTGCCAGGAATTTTATGTTTATAATCTCACTTAATTTTCACGGCAGCTTTGTGAAATATATTTGGTCTTCCTATTATACATGTGAGGAAATCATGGCCCTGATGACCTAGATAATGAATAAGTGTCAGATTGGGATTTGAACTTAAATCTCCAAAGCTGACGCTGGAGTGAGAAGACCAATCACTCAGCAACAGGTCCTGAGTACTTGCCATGTGCCAGGAAGTTTCTGTGGAGGTGCTGGAGACACATGGAGAAAAAAACAATGCCTTCAGCAATTGTGAACCTGTCTGATGGGGTGGTGTCCACAGGCCCTCAACTTAGCACGTGGTCCATCTAAGGGAAAGGGGTTCTCCTGGGGTGACAACATTTACTAACCAGTCATGACTTATCTTATGACAGTTTTACCCAGTACAGGAGTTTGAGGTGTATCATGAACTGATGGAAAAATACCCATGTGCCCCTCCCTTGTGGGTTGGACCCTTTACGATGTTCTACAGTGTCCATGACCCAAACTATGCCAAGATTCTCCTGAAAAGACAAGGTAAAAACCAAGAGGGGCTTCCAGTACAGAGCAGCAACAAAAGAGTCTCAGGGTGTCTATTGCATTAGGGAAGGACAGCTTGAAGCATTTTTAAGGGAAATCCATCATTTGAAATGTAGAAGGAAAGATTCCATGTCCTCCTTGACATCATAGTCAGGACTCTATTGAGGGCTGTTGTAGAGAATTCTCTGATCCATTTCCAAGCAACCGTCTCTCCCTACATCAAAAATTTTTCTGATGCTTCCATCACATTTACTTACCTCAGACCCCCAGGACTACCACTTACCACCACTGTGAACATACAGTGGGTTGGGGATGCAGAGGTGGTTTGCTTACAATTGGCTTAATGCCAGTGTTGCACAGAGATGAGTGTTCACCATAGATGCTTTGCCCACCAATGATGCCTGTCCTCTGGGAATGGCCAGTGCCAGGTGGAGGCTCTGGCAAGTGGACACCAGTTCTCCATCAGGTCCCTAGTGTGGGAATTCCATGGAATTGCAAAGCTGCTTCTTGGCCGTGGCAAGATGTATGTAGGATTCCCCTACTGGGCTTTCCTCAACTGCCTGTTGGCATGTAAGGCTGACCTTTGCCTCATTCTCCCAGCTACCTAGATGGCTCACTCAGTTATAAAATGCCTCCACACCTCTCTTCATGCTTCTGCAAAATTTCAAGCAGCCTATGGCTCTCTCATGTCACAGGTCACTCTGCCAGAATCACCACCTTTGCATCCTTGTTGAAAATGAATTGACAACATATGTATGGGTTTATTTTTGGAGTCTGATATCTACACTTAATGCCAGTACCACATTGTTTTGGTGACTATAACTTTGCAGTAAGTTTGAAATCAAGATGTATGAGTTCTCCAGCTTTGCTGTTCTTTTTCAAGGTGGTTTTGACTGTTTTGTTTCCCTTAAAATATCATAGAAATGTTAGAATTGGCTTTTCCATTTCTGCAAAGAAGGCCAATGTGATTTTCACAGGGATTCCATTGAATCTGCAGATCAACTTGGAGAGTATTGTCATCTGCACAGTATTGTCTTTCAATTTATTAACATGGATGTCTTTTTTCTTATGTACATTTTCTTTAATTTCTTTCAGCAGTGTTTTTTAGTTTTCAGTATACAAGTCTTTTGTTTCGTTTGTTAAATTTATTCTTAAGTATTTTATGTTTTGATGCTATTGTAAATAGAGTTTTTTAAACTTTCTTTTCAGACTGTTCATTGCTAGTGTACAGAAATACAACTGATTTTGGTGTGTTGATTTTGTATGCTGCAAAGTTTCTGAATTTGTTTATTAGCTCTGACAGTTTTCTTGCAGATTTTTTAGGATTTTCTATATTTAAGATCATGTAATTTGTGAATACAGATAACTGTAGTTTTTCTCCTTCCAATTTGGATGACTTTTTTCCTTTTCATTGCCCAATTGCTCTAGCCAGAACTTCTGTTACAGTGTTGAATGTAAGTTGTGAAAGTAGATGTCTCTGTCATGATCTTAGGGGGAAAGATTTGAGTCTTGCACCACTCAGTGTAATACTAACTGTAAGTTTTTCATATATGCCTTTTAGCATGTCGAGAAACTTTCTCTGTAATCCAAGTTTACTGAGTGTTTTTATCATGAAAGGGTGTTGTGTTTTGTAAAATATTTTTCCTGTAACAACTGAGATCATCATGTGGTTTTTTTCTTCATTCTATTAAAGTGCTCTTGCATTCCTGGAATAAATCCCACTTGGTCATTATGTAAAATTGCCTAATATCCTGCTGGACTCCATTTGCTAGTATTTTTTGAAGAATTTTTTTATCTGTATTCATAAGGAATATTGGGCTATACTTTTCTTTTTTTGTACTATTTTGTCTGGCTTAGGCATCAGGGTAATGCTGGCATCATAGAAGGAGTTAGGAAGTGCTCCTTCTCTCCTTCTTCTGTTTTTTGGAAGAGTTTTAGAAGTATTGGCCCTAATTTATCTTTAAATGTGTGGTAGAATTCATCAGCAAAGCGCTCAGGTCCTGTGCTTTTCTTTATTAGCGATTTTTGATTGCTAGTTCATTCTCTTTACCTTACCAGCTATAGGTCCATTCAGATTTTCTACTTGTTCTTGAGTCAGTTTGGTAGTTCTTGTGCTTTCAAGAATTTGTCCAATTCATCTAGGTTACACAATTCGTCAGCATACAATCATTCATGGTATCTTCTTTATTGACATTTAACATGGAAACATCACTTTTATTGACAGTTTAGGGCCACAATGAACAGACAGTTTCACTGAACAGAAATAGGACAGTCTGAAGACAACAGAGTATAAAATTGTAGGAAAAGGGTTAATATTCTTCACCCTCATCCTCTCCCTCTGTGCTATCTGCTCCAACCTCCTCATAATCCTTCTTAAGGGCAGCCATGTCCTCTCCTTCCTCTAGCCACTCATTCATATACCAGTGAACAGAGGCATGCTTATCATACATCAGGTCAAACGTGTGGTCCAGGCAAGCCCAGGCCTCAGCAACTGCTGTGGTGTTGCTCAGCATGCACACAGCTCTCTATACATTGACCAGGTCTCCCCCAGGTACCTCACGGGGAGGCTGGTAATTAATACCAACCTTAAAACCAGTGGGATACCAATCCACAAACTGGATAGTAGGCTTGGTCTTGATGGTGGTGATGGCAGCATTGACATCTTTGGGGACCATGTACCAATGGTACAACAGGCAGCAAGCCATGTATTTACCATGGCAAGAGTCACATTTCACTATCTGGTTGGCTGGCTCAAAGCAAGCATTGGTGATCTTTGCTACAGCAAGTTGTTCGTGATAGGCTTTCTCAGCAGAGATGATGAGGGCATATGTGGTCACAGGGAAGTGGATGCAGAGGCAGTGTACCAGTTTGGTCTAGACTTGTGTCAGATTAACATTCAGGGCTCCATCAAATCTGAGGGAAGCAATGATGGAGGACACAGTCTGCCTAGTTAAAGCTAGTGTAGGTTGGGCACTCAATATTAAGGTTTCTCCACAGATGTCATAGATGGCCTCATTGTCTGCCACGACGGCACAATCAGAGTGCCACAGGGTGATGTGGGAGATGAAGATAGAATTATACAAGTATAGCTGTGGAAATAATGCGGGGTTGGGTATGTGGAGAACTCCAACTTGGACTTCTTGCCATAATCAACAGAAAGAACATTCCACCAGCAGAGAAGTGAACCCAGAATAAGTCCCCTCACCAAAGCAGTAAAAAACCAAGAAATTCTGAAGTCCTGTGCACTAGTCAACCATCTTGCAAATTCAGTCCAAGATGAGGTCAATATAATCCCCTTGCCTATGCAATAGTGCCCTCAAGTATAGTTATAGGCAGCATCTTCCTTGCCTGTGATGAGCTGCCCAGGGTGGAAGAACTGGCAGTAGGTGCCAGTGTGAACTTTGTCAATGACTCCAGGTTCAACATCTACAAACACTGCCCTAGTCACATGGTTGTCAGCACCTGCCTCACTGAAGAAGGTACTGAAGGAGTCATTTCTTCCCACAATAGTCTTGTCTCTTGGCCTTGCCATCAGGCTAGAGGCCATGTTCCAGGCAGTAGAGATCCTAGCAGGAACTGCCAATCTGGACATCAGCCTAGCCAACGTGGAGCTGCACTCACATATGACAGGGACTTGTGAGGTTCTGCAAGGTTGAAGGAGGTGAAGGGACAGCAACAAGGATCTCCCACTAACAGACAACCACGGAGTCCAAGGGAGTAGTCCATAGTGTCCTCTTATAATCCTTTTATTATCTGTAATAATAAGTTGATAGTAATGTCCCTACTTTCATTTCTGATTGTAGTAACTTGATTCTTCTCACTTTTCTTGATAATCTAATTAAAGTTTTATCAATTTTGTTAATCTTCTCAAAGAAATAATTTTTATTTGTTGATTTTTTTCTGTTGTTTTCCTGTTTTTATTTTATTTATCTCAGCTGTAATCTTTATTATTTCTTTCCTTCAGTAGCTTTGGGTTTCATTTGCCCTTCTTTTTCCAGTTCATTAAAGTATACAGTTAGGGTATTGATTTAAGGACTTTATTTTTTAAATGAAGATATTTAAGCTATAAAAATCTCATTAAGCACTGCTTTTGCTGACTTCCATAACATTGGGCATATTGTTTTCATTTTCATTTGCCTTGAAATATTTTCTAATGTCTCTTATGATTTATTCCTTGTCCCTTTGGTTGTTTAAGCATGTCTTGTTTAATATTCATGTTCTGTGAGTTTTCCTGTTTCACTTCTGATACTGATTTCTAGTTTTATTATATTTCTACTTTTATTCTATGGAGAGGTATTTTTGTATGATTTCAATCTTTTTAAATTTATTGAGACTTTTTTTGTGACTTACCATATGATCTATGCTGAAAAATGACCCATGCGCTCTTGAGAAGAACATGTAATCTGCTGTTGTTAGGTGGAGCATTTAGAACATGTCTGTTTGGCATAATTATAGTATTGTTCAAGTTCTCTATTTCCTTATTAATTTTTTGTATTGTTCTGTCCATTATTGAAAGGGATGTAGTGAATTCTCCAATTATAATGTTAGAACTGTCTATTTCTCCCTTAAATGCTGTCAGCTTGCTTCATATACTGTGGGGTTCTATTGTTAGGTATATATGTATATATTTATAACTGCTATATCTTCTTGATGGATTGACTCCTTAACAATACATAATGTCTTTCTTTATGTCACAATATTTTAAAGTATATTTAACTGATAATCACCCTGCTCTCTTTTCCTTACTGTTTGCATAGAACACCTTTTCTACCCTTTCACTTTTAACCTCTTTGTTTCTTCAGAGCTAAAGTGAGTCTCTTGTAAGCAGCATATTAGTGGATCCCATTTTTTAGTCCATTCTGCCAATCTCTGCCTTTTAATTGAATAGTTTAACCCAGTTACATTTAAAATAATTACTGATAAGGAAGCACTTATTTCTGACATTTCACTGTTGGTTTTTTATATGTCTTATACCTTTTTTTAGAGATAGCATCTTGCTCTGTCACCTAGGGTAGGGTGCAGTGGTGCCATCATAGCTCGCTGCATCCTCTAGCTCTTGGGCTCAAGTAATTCTCCCACTTCAGCCTCTTGAGTAGTTGGGACTATAGGCCTGCACCACCATGCCTGGATAATTTTTTCTTTTGTATAGACAAGGGTCTCACTATGTTGTCCAGGCTGGTCTCAAACTTCTGGCTTCAAACAATGCTTCCCCATCTGTCTCCCAAAGTGCTGAGACTACAAGTGTCACCACTATGCTCAGCCTGTCATATATATTTTATGTTCCTCACTTCCTCCATTACTGCCTACTTTGGTGTTTAATTTTTGTTTTTTCGTATGGTGACATTTTTATGTTACTCTTCTCATTTCCTTATCTATATATTTTTAGTTATTTTCATAGTGGTTAATGTGGGATTACAATTAATATCTTAAAGCTATATCAACTTGGTTTAAATTAATACAAATTTAGCTCAATAGTATCCAAAAATTCTCATCCTATACATCTCCATCTCTATATATTGTTATTGTCACAGATTGCATCTTTATACATTGTGTGCCCATAACATAGATTTATAACTGTTGTTTTATGCATGTGTATGTATACCATGTAAGCAAAAAGAGGAGTTAAAAACCAAAGATACAATAATACTGACTTTTATGTTTACCTATGTAGTTACTCTCACCAGTGTTCATTTTTTTACATGGCTCTGAGTTACTGCTTAGTGATCTTTCATTTCAGCCTGAAAGGCCCACTTTAGCACTTCTTGTGGAGTAGGTCTATTAAAAACAAACCCTCTCAACTTTTGTTTATAGGGAATGTCATAATTTCTCTTTCATTCTTGAAGGATCATTTTGCTAAATATATAATTCCTAGTTGGCTTTTTTTCCTTTCAGCAGTTTGAATATTTCATCTCACTGCCTTCTGACCTCCATGGTTTCTGATTAGAAATAGGCTGTTAATTTTATTGAAGATCTCTTGTATGAGATGAGTCACCTTCTCTGTTGCTGCTTTCCAGATTTTCTCTTTATCTTTGGCTTTCAACAAATTGATTCTAATGTGTCTCAGGGTGAATCTCTTTGAGTTTATCCTGCTTGTAGTTCATTGGGCTTCTTTTCCTATAGAGTCATGTCTTTCCTCAAATTTTGGATATTTTCAGTCATTATTTCTTCAATGTTAGTTCTCTCTCTTCTCTCTTTTGGGACTTCAATTATGCATATGTTAGTATGCTTGAGGGTATCCCACAGGTCTCTTAGGACCATTCATTTTTTTCATTTTGTTTTCTATTTCTGCTCCTCAGATTCAACAATCTCAATTGACCTATCTCCAACTGCTAATTTTTTCTCTCCCTGCTCAAATCAACTGCTGAAACCTTATAAACTTTTTGTTTCAGTTACTGTATACTCCAGTTCCGGAACTTTATTTGTTTCTGTTCACAACTTCTATGTCTTTGTTAATATTCTCTATTGTTCATACATCAGTATTTTGGTTTTGTTTCATCTTTGGCCGTGGTTTATTTTAGGTCTTTGAGCATATTTAAGACAGTTGATTTAAAGTTGTCTAGTAAGTCCAACATCTACGCTTCCTCAATAACAGTTTCTTTTCATTTATTTTTCTTGTGCATAAGTCATACATCCTTTGTTTCTTTTATATGCTTTGCAATTTTTTTTGTTTAAAACTGAACATTTTAAATGTCATGTAAGAAAAAAAGGAATAAAAGAAAAAAAGTAGAAAATAAAATAAAAATATTCTCCAGGTCTTTCCTGGTTGGTTCTGTGTTGGGGTACACCTTTAGTATTTAATCAGGGCATTTACAAGTTTGCCTTTTTAGCTTTCTCTTTCTTCTTGCACTTTGTGTAAGGACTAGTCAAAGTTAAAAGCCTATGGTCTTATCATGTCTTTTCCAAGCATGCAGTCTACCCTGTGTATGTGTAGGTACCCTGTTATATGTGAGAACATCTTAAAGTGTTGATTCCAAAAAAAATTCCCATTCCCAGCTTTTCCTTCTAGGTTTCAGTGTGTTTATTATTGCCTCAATTATTCTTTTTTGTCCCAGGAAGCAGTGATAGTTCTTTTGCTTCTCAATGTTTTTGAGGAACACTTCCCTGCCCTGAGAGAATTCTGAGTTAGGTAAAACATAGGCAAGCCCCAGTCCTTTAGAAAACCCACACAGAGTTCAAAACAAACAAAATTCCTTGAGAACAAAGACCACTCTGCTTTCTCTAGGATCCAGGAATCAGAACCCCTTGAGAATGCAAGCTGCCATCTTCAAGATTGCCATGGCACTGGAGAGGGATGTGGGGCAAGGCTAAATTACAATGCCACCAATCTTTTCTATTCTTTTTCAGTGGCCTTTCTTCTGATTAAGTGCTCACTTGGTTGCTGTAAACAACTAACTGTCTTCCAGAATTCTGCTAAAGTTGACTATAACAGTTTTTTTGCCAGATAATTTTTGTTTTTGCTTTGGGGAGGGATGGCCCTGGACAGTTCCTAATCTAGCATTTTTGCTGATGTCACTCCTAGACATTATTTTTTAGGACCCTGGAATGTCTAGAGTAGAAAGGCTCATGCTTATTAGCCCTAAATATAAACACACATACATTCTTCCCAAAATAGTTTTGGAAACATCCTTAACAATTCTATCAGTCTCTTTTAACCGTTTCCGAAGAAATGCCAGAATTATCTTCCAACAAGTAGATTTGGAGGATGAGAATGAGGAATTAGTTAAGAAGGGGTCCCAACTTTTGACAGGGAATAGGAATATAGTCATGTTTTTAAGTGGATAGAGGAAGAGGAGGCTATCTGGTGTTGAAGGGATAGATCAGGTTTGGATTTGCTGGGGCCCTGAGGTGTCTGTGTGGTACACAAAGGGAAATGTCTAGAGGGCAGTTGTTTTATATTGAAGTCTATGAGCAGAGAGAAAGACAGAGAGAATACACTAGGGCCTGAGAGAATGAATGCCGTAAGGTATCTTCCTACCCTTAGAACTCAAGGTATTTTACAGGTTCATTTCACCTGGACTTCTGCAGAAAGTGAATCTCATATTAACAGTTCTCTCTTTTCCTAGATGTTCATATGTTTTCTCCCCTATTTTCACTTCCCTGTCTTTATCCCACATAAAGACATTGATGGCATGAATGAAGGATACTAATTCTTGTTTTCCAAAAACTGTAAAACCAAGGTTATGTCCCTTACCTTTTCTTCTGATTCATTTATATACATCTTTCTCAAACAAATCCAACAAGGGTAAAATCTACAATTTATCTCAAAGTCATATTCCCGTGTCTAGCTTTACATGTCTGTGTCAAAAGAAATTGAAGCTTTAAAATGTTGTCAGAGAGTTCCCCAACAAAAACAAATGTGTTTTTTCAACTTACATCATGGGGTCATTTCAATTTCCACAAAGAAAATTATACTTTGTTTTCCACTGCTATTGACCTTGTAGCACCAAGTGCTGTGGAGAAAGAATAAATAAGTTCTCATTCTACTTCTGTGGCTTCCCTGGGATTCTAAGGGCTGAAAAACTAGCCTCCAACCACCTTGCACACTAGCTATTTGTGTTACTCCCAAGAAATATGGAAACGTACAAAAGTTACCTCTCATTTTAACTCGTGATTTTCACCTAATGCCATTTTTTGCCTCCTTTGTTCTGTTTTACAGATCCCAAAAGCACAATTATCCACAAAATCCTTGAATCCTGGGTTGGTATGTGTATTAGTCCACTCTCATACTGCTATAAAGACATAGCTGAGACTGGGTAACTTATAATGAAAAGAGGTTTAACCGACTCATGGTTCTATTGGCTATACAGGCTTCTGCTTCTTGGGAGGTCGCAGGAAACTTACAGTTGTGGTGGAAGGCAAAGGAAAAGCAGGCACACCTTCACATCGCCACCAGGAGTAGGGGGGGAGACTGTTACACTCTTATAAACAAGCAGATCTAGGGAGAATTCTATCACAAGAACAGTAAGGGGAAAGTCCACCCCCATGACTCTGTCACCTTCCACCAGGTCTCCCCTCCAACACTGAGGATTACAATTTGATGTAAGACTGAGGTGGAGACTCAGAGCCAAACCACATCAGTATGTGTGTCTGATCCTTTCTCATCTGAGCCTGGTGGAGGTAGAGGTGTGGGGAGAGATTACTTTCCTGATAGACACTAAATGCTCCTGTCTCCCCCACCTTACCACAACCTACACTTGCTTTTGCTTCAGAAGCCTGAGTTCAATCCTGCCTTGTCCTTCATAGCGTCTCCTCTTATTCTACGTGTTTGGGACTGGTCCTTTATTTCTGGTGTAGCTAGGGGTAGGGGTGGAGGAATAAGAAGGGGCCTGGAGGTCATATTCTCTCCTCACACCAACTGATGTCACTATCCCAGGTAGTCCCCACTTGAAGATCATGGAAAAAGAAGGAGAGTCCCTCAGCCTGCTAGCATGGACCTTATTGAGAATGGTGCCCTGGAAGAGGTTGCCATTGTGAAAGTTGCTTAAGATCATCCTTTCTCCTTTTCCCACCACACTTCCCCTCCCTTTTCTGGGCAACCTGCCTTTGCAGCTAAGCAAGTTCACACCAGGAGATTCAGGATCCAGGTAGTAGCCCCAGATCCCTGAATCAAATGTGCATGGGTGCCTTCTCTCCCTCTCCTTAGATTTTCCACCCTACAGAGATTTTAATATTATTCACCACAAATTTCATTATCAGTTTTCCCAAACTAATTGTCCCTGGAAAATCTTGCTCTTGAGGATCCCTTTGAAAGAACCCACTCTCCTAAACTAAGTCTTTTATGAACTCAGTGGAAATCTCAAACCCACTTTCCCAGCAGGAATGATAAAGAAAAGCCCCTTTAGTCCTCCATCATTGATCCTCAGCCTGAAGAGAAGCACAAAAGTTATGGAAAGAAAGCAGCACCTCTGCTTCAGTCTGTAACTTTGTGCCAGTCTAAGGCAGTATTTCTCAAAGTGTGGACCTGAACTAGCTGGGACCCTTGTTATAACTCAAAAGTCCTTGATTCTACCTCAACACCTAGGAATTACTGGCTCTGAAGGATTAAGCCAAGGAATCTGCCTCTATCAAGCACCTCAGGTAATTCTCACCCACCCTAAATTTGAACTCTTATCCAGAGGCTGATCAATCTGACCATCAAATAGGATAGGATGGACCTTTTTTTGAGTTCATTGCATAAACAAATTTTCTGATTTGAACTTAATTCCCAAAGGGTTAGGTCTACTCCTGCTCATTCACTCTTTCAGAGCTCTGTCCACTCTAGCTTCTCTCCAGTGTCATAGATAGGGAATTGCACCCTGTGTGCCTAGTCTTTCTTCACTTACCTGGCCTGTGATAGAAACATTTGCCCCTCTCATTTCATAAGGTCAAGGACTTGTGACCCTGGATGGTTCTAAATGGAAAAAGCACCACCAAATTGTGAAACCTGGCTTCAACATCAGCATTCTGAAAATATTCATCACCATGATGTCTGAGAGTGTATGGGTGATGCTGGTAAGAGGAGAAGACAGCATTCCTTCCTGGCCTCTGAAGTGAGGTGCTGCCAGCCATATGGCGAGAGAGACTCTGAGTTCCCTCTGAACCATGTTCACAGCAGTTTATGTGGGGTTATTTGATGTTTAGACCATGACCATCATCATCAGGGCAAGGACCCAGTCTTATATACCCAACACTTCTCACAGGGATGGACTCAGGGTAGGTGCTCAATGAGAAGTAGTTGAATGAATGAATGGGTGAGTCCAGTAGACTCACTACATTTGGAGAACACAAAGCAGAAGAGCAAAGACAACAATAGGAGTAGCCATCCCAACATACAGAAGTGTATCATGTTCAGGAGGTCAAGTCAGGAAAGACTTCCTAAGAAAGGTGGCAGGAGCTTAGTCTTGGAGAATGGGCAGGATTTCTAGAGACAGAGGGTCAGAGAAAAGACTGCCTTGTGGTCAAGGAGAAAGGGGAGCTTTAGCTTTGGCTGAGACAGAAGAGGGTGCAGAGATTTCACAAGACTATCTAGAACCCATAGAGAAGACACAGTTGTATGTCTCCACACCTGCCTTCTTGGAGTTTGGATGGCATAGACATGCCAGGTGGTTTTGAGCACAGCTAAGGTCTGTTTCAGGGGTCCTGAATGAGGTGATTGTGACAACTCAAAGACTAAGTTTCTAGGATCCCAGGCACTGAGTAAAGCAATTCTACACACAGGATCCCAATCATAGTCACAAAGACTTATTAATGATGCAGGAGTTCAGAGATATGGGTTCACCTAAACACGTCACCTTGGATTCATACTTGCCCCATGCTTTCCAGCGTGCCATGCTGTTATCCTTTATGACCCTCGTCACCATGCCCATGTCCCACTCCAAAATAAAAATCAAAGCAAAACATATAAATACAGTGACTGCCAATACTTTTTAAGCACTTACTATGTGTCAAGTTTCTTATATCCTCTTATACTACTACACTCTTACAATTTTGCTATATTATCTCCATTTTGTTAGTAAGGATATTGAGATGCAGAGATTAAGCAGTCTGTTCAAGGTCACAAGGCAGGCCGGGTGCAGTGGCTCATGCCTGTAATGTCAGCACTTTGGGAGGCCAAGGTGGGTGGATGGCTTGAGCCCAGGAGGTCAAGACCAGCATGGTCAGCATGGCCAAACTCCATCTCTACTAAAAATACAAGATCATAAGGCAGATTAGAGGAAGAGCTGGGTTCAAACTCAAGCCTCCTTGAGTTGGAAGAGCACACCCTGAACTGATGCACCTCTCTTCGAGTCTGAGGCTTCTTCCTGACGATGCCCCCTTCAGCCCGCTCCAACCAGTGCCTCTCCTTGCAATGCCCTTACCAACATCCAAACAGACACCACCCCCATTATCACCGACCTCTTGCTCTTTCTCTACTCTTCTTGGCTCCATGACAATTGCAATCTTTCAGAACATCTGATTTTAGTAAAGTGTTTGGAAAAAAGCTTTCAAATTGAATTATTTAATTAATTCACATTACAGAGTTAATAACAGCTTAACAGTGCATAAACATTTATACTGAAATGGAGAACTTCATTTCCATAAACATTTGGCTTTTGACAAAGTGAAATTCTCTGGGATATTGCCAGGTATGTCCAAGGGTGTAAACACATCTGGATCCTACTCTATAGGTGAGGATTTTTGGTCTTGACTCTTAACTGCAAAATCTTTGAGAACAAGAACTATCTCTAACACGTCTCTTTTTTTTTTTTTTTTTTTTTGAGACGAAGTCTCGCTCTGTCGCCCCGGCTGGAGTGAAGTAGCCTGATCTAGGCTCACTGCCAGCTCCGCCTCCTGGGTTCACGCCATTCTCCTGCCTCAGCCTCTCGAATAGCTGGGACTACAGGCGCCCACCACTACGCCTGGCTAATTTTTTTGTATTTTTGGTAGAGGCGGGGTTTCACCGAATTAACCATGATAGTCTTGATTTCCTGACGTCGTGATCCGCCCGTCTCCGCCTCCTAAAGTGCTGGGATTATAGGCGTGAGCCACCACGCCCCGCCATCTAATTCGTCTCTAAATTATCACTGGATCTGGGAAAAAAAACTTGTCGAGTATTAAATATTTCAGGGATCTTTTCCTAGAATCCAAAACCTCTGTTTATGTATGCTCTCTAAGGATGTTTTTGAATTCTTGTTTTTTATTCCGTGTTTTGTCAGCTTAGTTTTTCCATTATAAAAGATGTATAAATTGTAGTACTGCAACTTAGGAAAAAGAAAAAAAAAAAACCATTGCCCCACCCTTACAAAGCCACAAATAGCATCTAAGGCACAATATTCCTTTTCAGTACCGACAAGGTGTTTTCTTTTATATGGTTGGCATAATACGGCAAATTCATTGTGTACACTTTGTATTTTCAAACCCCAACAAGCTCTAAAAGGGACATAAAATAACTTAGAAATTGGGAAAAGAGGGGCATGTGTATGATCATGATATTCATCTCCTGCCCCACAGCAAATGGGAGGAGCACATTGCCCAGAACTCATGTCTGGATCTCTTTCAACATGTCTCCCTGATGACTGTGGACAGCGTCGTGAAGTGTGTCTTCAGCCACCAGGGAAGCATCCAGTTGGACAGGTCAGTGACAAAAGGAAGGTACTTGTTCACCAATAACTGTGTCACCCACTAACATGTTCCATCTTCCCTATTCCAGTACCCTGGGCTCATACCTGAGAGCAGTGTTCAACCTTGGCAAAATATACCAGCGGATGAACAATTTCCTACATCACAACGACCTGATTTTCAAATTCAGCTCTCAAGGCCAAATCTTTTCTAAATTTAACCAAGAGCTTCATCAGTTCACAGGTTAGTCCTGGGATTTACATGACCAGAGTCCACTATGAGACATCTCATTGTCTGAGACATAGACTTTGGTTATGGCTGCTTCTACTATGGACATAGGGCATGGCCATCATTCAGAAATGCTAATTTGTACCTCTTAAATGAATGTGCTACATAAATCCTAGGTAGAGAGTATATTATTGACTATATATCTGCATTGTAATGTTTGGAGTTAGAATTAATACAATCAGCAAAACATCTGTCTATCTTGCTTCATTTCTAATGGAGCAGCTTCAGATGTGAAGAAAAGTAAAAGTGAAAGGAAGTACATTTCTGTAAGAAGACAGAACAGGACATCTGAGCAAGTACTGAACATGCTTGGGTACTGCATACTATGTACAGTTTATCAAACAACACAGCACACCACTGAGTGTCCCTTTTGCATGAGTTTTTGGGGACTTAGGACATAGATAACTTTGAGGGACCATAAATCTACCTATGGCAATACCCATTTACAATTGGAATATATTTCTGATTTATCATTATTATCTTGATAAAATCACCTTTTTCTCTAATAATGCTTCTAGTCTCAAGATCTACTCTATCAGATACTAGTGTGATAACCTCTGCTTTCCTTTAGTTAGTATTTTGATAGTATATTATTCTATACTCTTTTTTTTTCTGTTTCTGTGTCCTTACATTTGAGGTTTATGTCTTTTTTTCCTTTTCTTTTTCTTTTTCTTTTTGTTTTGTTTTGTTTTGTTTTGAGACAGGGTCTCACTTTATCACCCAGGCTGCAGTGTGGTGGCACCATCTCGGCTCACTGCAGACTCAACCTCCCGGGTTCAAGTGATCCTCCTGCCTCAGCCCCCCTAAGCAGCTGGGACTACAGGCGTGTGCCACCACACCTGGCTAAATTTTGTATTTCTTTTGTAGAGGCAGGGTTTCACCATTTTGCCCAGGCTGGTTTCGAATTCCTGAGCTCAAGCAATTTGCCTACCCAAAGTGCTAGGATTACAGGCGTGAGCCACTGTGCTCAGCCAAGGTTTATTTCTCATATGCAGCATATATTTAGATTTTATTAATGTAGTCTGAAAATCTTTGTGCTTTAGTTAGAGCATTTAAACCACTTATATTTAATGTAATCACTAGAATATCTGGATTTAAACAGGCCATGTAACTATTTGTTTTCTATTTAACTGATTTTTATCCCTTCTTTTATTAATTGCGGGATCATTTTATATTGTTACTTTTTCTCTTTTAGATCATACGTTTAGTTTTTTATGGGTATGCTAGAAATTACAACATGCAGTCTTTATTTATTAGAATCTAACATATGCAATTACATTAAGCACTTCCCTGAAAATGCAAGGATCTTACACCATTTGAACCTCTCTTTACTACTTCCCATATTCTTAAATATTTTAAATATTGTTCTGATGGGTTTTTTAAATGATTTTTTTTTAAGTTCCGAGGTATATGTGCAGGATAAGGATAATAATTAGGGAAAAATTACAAAAATTAGAATTTTACAACCAGAATTCCACATTGTGGTTGCTGCAGTATATAGTTCTTTTGCAAAAAGTAGCATAACTATAACAATTCCCACAAGAGTGGCATAGTAAATAATTTCCATTGAAAACTTTACTTGCCAAGACATAACATTTCCCTCTGGGGATGTACAAAGTTACAAGTGTGATTCTATGAATAATTAAAATCTCCCTGCAAATATGCACTAAAAAGAAGTTTTAGTATCTGGTGATGAACTTTGAGAGGAAAGGTTAGAAATAATAAAAAGTATCTGGTGAGGTAGGAGAGGGACTGAGTAAGATGAGTAGCCCTCACTCAGTTACTTATCTTTTATGATTTTCAGCTTACGATGCTCTATTTCTTCACACTGATATTTATGACACTCCTCTGAGCTGTCAGGGGTTGCTCCCTCAGCTCTTCAGGCTTTGACTTGAGTGTGATGTATCCAGGAGTTGATTCCTGTAAGCTTTACTGCTGAGGGGGTTGAAAGAAGAACAGTGTACGGCCTTTTCCAGCTTGACATAGGGAAGGAGACAGAGCTGAGAGTTTTCACCAATACCAAATTTCCTGGGTTAAATAAAGGTGGTTCTATTTCCTGGGATTTGGTTCTTGCTGGTTGTGTTAATTTCTATTGGAAGTGAGCTAGAGAGTTTACATGCTTAACCAATTGAGAGGTTTCCTGCCTGAAACAGTCTCTGAGCACATTGATAAGTTTTTTGTCCTTTCCCAAGTGAAAAGCTTGGCAAAGGATTTTAAGGATTTTCCGTTGGCTGGAGGCTGGCAAATAGAGTTTGCCATCCTGACTGTAACCATCCTGAGAACCGAAAAGTATGCCCTTGAGAAGTGGCCTATTTTATTTCTGCGGGGTAATACTGGGGCTTAATTTCTCTTATGAAGCCTTCCTAAATTAGAAGGGGCCTGAAGTATGTTGATGCCCTGAGGCTTCCTTGCCTTTGACTTAGCTGCCTGATCAGCTAACCTATTTTCTTCGGCTACTTTATTTGTTCCCTTTTGATGTCCCCTACAATGCAACCCTCCTATTTCTCGTGGAAGGAAAACTGAGGATAATAACCTGCTAGTTTTGTGGTGATATTTTATAGGAGATCCATTGGTGGTCTTCGTTTTAAATGGCAGCATGAGCATGGAGAGCTAAGAAAGCATACCTGGAGTAGGTATAAATGTTAGTTGCCTTTCCTTGCTTAATTCAAGTGCTCTTGTAAGAGCTATTAGCTCAGTTAATTAAGTGTTTGTGCCTGGGGAGAGACATTATTTAGAGCAACTACTGCTTATCCTGCCTTATGTACTTCTTGCTTTACTGGCTGTTTGTTAGCTAAGCGCTCCCCCTAGAGGACAGTGATTCTGCCTCATCATGTGGCATGTAAACAGGTAAACTATTTCCTAGGGTCAATTTGGAGGCTTTTTTTTTTTCACTCATAGAGCAATTATGACAATGGTTTGGAAGCACGTGTACACAATAGGTTCTTCTAACTACAACTAAGGTTAAGAAAAATATTGGAATAGAGTTTTTCCTGAGATGCCCCTTCCGGTCGTTTTATGGGAAGAGGGGAGGCCTGGATTTAGAGGAGAGAAAGGGGACTGGCTCTAGTGTTTAGAAGGAGGTCTGCTTTCCTTCCTTTAATTTCCAGAATCACCCGGGGCTCCTGTGCTGTAATGGCAGTTTGAGCCACTGGAGTTGGCATTTGAGCCCCAGGACCCATCAGTCCTGCTGGACCATCTGTGAGAGTGGTCCTGAACGCAGTGGCCTCCACCTCTGGGGGCAGTTCCATCTCCAGTGATCTATGCCACAGGCTGGACAGGGTCCAGCTGGCTTCATCTTGCTGCCTGGGCATTCCTTCTTAAAATGCCCTGCCCTGCCACACCGATAGCAACTAGTGGATGCACCTCGGGGATCCTGGACCTTGCAAGCCTGCAAAGCTGTTGCTAGAGCCTCTGTCCTTCTCCTGAGCTTTCTTTCTTTCTTTTGGGCCTCCCCCAGTCCCTATTACAAAAGACCGAAGTGGCCACCTTCAGGAGGCTCCCTAAGGTGCTATCTGGTCCTATAGCTTGCTTCTGTACTTTCCTTCTAATATTGGGAGCTACCTGTGTATTAAAGTTGTCCTTCAGGGTGAGCTGCCCCTCAACTGAATTAGGGGATAAGGAGGTGGGTTCTAGTACAGCCTCTCTCAGTCTTTCCATAAAGGCTACAGAATTCTTATCTGACTTCTGGTCTATTATAGACAGTTTAGAGCAATTGAGAGGGTTGGTCCTGGTTTTCCATAGACCTTCTAATATGCATATTAGAAAGCGCTTCCTTTTCCATTTATCTTCTGAGTTATTGGGGTTCCAATTAGGGTTGTTAACCAGAATTGCCTCTCTCCCAATTGGAAATGGAGTTTTTGCTATTTCTTCACTTTCCCTATCTGCTTTCTTCCCTTTTGCTGTATTATAACAGATATATTGATCATCTCCAAGATTCTCTGCTGCGTGCAGAGCTGCCTGCTTTTTCGCTGCTGTGAGGGTCGGGTTTAGGAGCAGCATAACATCCCTCCCTGTGAGGTGAAATACCTGAGTTAAATTTTGGAAAGCCTCTATATACCTATCAGGGTCATTAGAAAATTGGCCTGTCTCTATTCATTTGCCTAAGGTCCTATAATGAGAAGGGAACTTGAAGGGGCCCCAAGTAATGGGAATCCTCTGACAGTTTCCCTGGAGGTTACTTCTCTAATTTGGGGGAACTATTCTTTTTTGGGCCCGCCTGATATGATTGTTAAAAGAGTTGGGTTGGTCTTACAATGTTTGCAAAGGTTTAGTAAAAATGCCATGCACTTGTGCAAAAGAAAATGAGTTGCTTTTCTTCTTGAAGTCCTGAGGTTAAAGAAGTTCCAGTGTCTCAGAGTACACTCCAGAGGGGTGCAAGCTGAAGATAACCTGTTACCCATCTAGAAAAAGATGTGAGAGTTCTTTTAGTCTCCTTCCTTTCCATATGACCCAGGGTGGAGGACAAGACAGGGGAGCATCCTTCTGGCTGTTTTCCCTCCCTGGTTCTTGGGTCCCGGTGCCCTGTTAAATATGCCATCTATGGTTAAAGGCGTGGTCCTCCGAGCTATGGAACCGGATGAACTAAGTGATGCTTTACCCACACAACCTTAGCTTATCCACCTTGTGTATTTCCTCTTTTGCCTTCCTACGCCCTGTGTAATCTGCCTGGCTCCCCAAAAAATGAGAGACTGTGTCATTTTTGCACAAGCCTCCTTTAATGGAGGCAATGTGCCAAATTGCATTTACCTTAGAAAAATAGTTCTGATTAATTTCTAAACTTAGAATCCCCTTACTAAGTACCATTTTAATAGGAAACAGACTAGATGCCTTAAAAGAACAAAGGAACTGAGTGGCTATTTTCCTGCTGATGGGACAATATTGAGACTAAAATTTGGCTATGGAAGACATTTTACTCCTAACTGCTAAAGGCAGAACTTGTGTGCCAAGCACCTTCAACCTTTATTATAAATAATATCTTTATTTAAGGAAGAGAAATGGTGGCTCAAAAAGTGAAGTCAACTGCTCAAGATGACATGCCTAAAACTAACAAAGCCAGGATTTAAGACAATTCTGGTTCAGTCCAAATCCCATGCCATTTCCATTGTACCAGATGACACCATGTGAACATGGTGTTCACATCATCATTTTCCTTCATCATCTCCAAGTGTTCAATAAATATTTGCTGAATTTAATTGTGCTGAATTATGTGAGGGAACAAAAATAAATAAATACTCTGTGAGGGAACAAAAATAAATACTCTGTGAACTCAACTTTCATTGTTTTGGCTACCTTTATCATGTGAAACACAAGTCTTCCTAAACCAGGACTACTAAGAACAGGGCACTGCAAAATGAGGTGGATTTGGAAGTGACCTAGAATTGCCAGGAACTAATGACTTGTTAAAAAAAAATTATTTTCTGTTGAGCATGGTGGCTCATACCCGTAATCCAGCGACTCAGGAGACAGAGGGAGGGTCACTTGAGGCCAGGAGTTTGAGACAAGCCTGGGCAACATAGCAAGACTCCATCTCTAAAAAAAAATTTAAAAACTATCCAGGTGTGGCAGCAGTGCCTGTAGGCCTAACTACTCTGGTGGCTGAGGTGGGAGGATCACTTGAACGGGAATTCAAAGCTAATCATGCCACTGCACTCCAGTCTGTGTGACAGAGCAAGACATCGACTCTAAAAATAATAATAATAAAATAAAATCACATTTTCTGATTAGAAAAAATAGTACACATTGTTTTTATTTTTAGTTAATATCTTTTTTCTTTTTGATTTCCAACTCTTAAGTTCAGGGGTACATGTGCAGGATGTGCAGGTTTGTTACATAGGTAAACGTGTGCCATAGTGGTTTGCTGCACAGACCATCCCATCATCTAGATATTAAGCCCAGCACTCATTCTCTTTTTTTTTTTTTTTCAATGGAGCCTCACTCTGTCGCCCAGGCTGGAGTACAGTGGCACAATCTTGGCTCACTGCAAACTCTGCCTCCCGGGTTCAAGCGATTCTCCTGCCTCAGCCTCCCGAGTTGCAGGGACTACAGGCATTGCCACCAGGCCTGGCTAATATTTTTGTATTTTTAATAGAGACCGGGTTTCACCATGTTGGCCAGGCTGATCTCGAACTCCTGACCTCAAATGACCTCCCACCTCAGCCTCCCAAAGTGCTGGGATTATAGGCATGAGCCACCATGCCTGGCCTCATCAGCTATTCCTGATGCTGTCCCTCCTCCCAGCCCCCACCCTCCAACAGGCCCCAGCTGTGTTGTTCCTACACCACGTGTCCATGTGTTCTCATCATTCAGCTCCCACTTATAAGTGAGAACATGTGGTATTTGGTTTCTTTTCCTGTGTTAATTTTCTGAGGATAATGGTTTCTAGCTCCATCCATGTCCCTGCAAAGGACATGATCTCATTCCTTTTAATGTCTGCATAGTATTCCATGGTGTATATGCACCACATTTTCTTTATCCAGTCTGTTATTGATGGGCATTTAAGTTGATTCCATGTCTTTGCTATTGTGAATAGTGCTGCAGTGAACATACGTGTGCACTTATCTTTATAATAGAATGATTTGTATTCCTTTGGGTATACACCCAGTAATGGGATCACTGGGTCAAATGGTATTGCTTTTGGCATCTTTGTCATGAAGTCTTTGCCCACACCTTTGTCCTGAATGGTATTGCCTAGATTTTTGTCTGGGGTTTTTATAGTTTTGGGTTTTACATTTAAGTCTTTAATCTATCTTGAGTTGATTTTTGCACATAATGTAAGGAAGTTTCAATTTTTTCCATACGACTAGCCAGTTCTCCCAGCATGATTTATTACATAGGGAATCCTTTTTCCATTGCTTGTTATTGTTGACTTGGCTGAAGATCAGATGGTTGTAGGCGTGCAGTCTTATTTCTGGGTTCCCTATTCTGTTCAATTGGTCTCTGGGTCTGTTCTTGCACCAGTACCATGCTTTTTTACTTACTGTAGTCTTGTGGTATAACTTGAAGAGGCCTGCAGCTTTGTTTTGTTTGTTTGTTTGTTTGTTTTCTTAGGATTGTCTTGGCTATTCAGGCTCTTTTTGGTTCCATATGAATTTTTTTTTTTTTTTTTTTTTTTTTTTTTTTTTTTTTTGAGACTGACTGTCACTCTGTTGCCCAAGCTGGAGTGCAGTGGTGTGCTCCCAGATCACTGCAATCTCCACCTCCCGGGTTCAAGTGATTCTTGTGTCTCAGCCTCCCGAGTAGCTGGGATTACAGATTCCAGCCATCATGCCTGGCTAATTTTTGTATTTGTAGTAGAGATGGGGTTTCATGATGTTGGCCAGGCTGGTCTTGAACTCTTGACCTCACGTGATCCTCCTGCCTCGGCCTTCCAAAGTGCTGGGATTACAGGCTTGAGTCACTGAACCCAGTCCCATATGAATTTTAAAACATTTTCTAATTCTATGAAGAATGTCAGTAGTACTTTAAGGGGAACAGCATTGAATCTATAAATTGCTTTGGGCAATATGGCCATTTTCATGATATTGATTCTTCTTACTCAAGAGCATGGAATGTTTTCTCACTTGTTTGTGTCATCCCAGATTTCTTTGAGCAGTGGTTTGTAGTTCTTCTCGAAAAGGTCCTTCACTTCCCCTGTTAGATATATTCCTAGATATTTTATTCTTTTGTGGCAGTTGTGAATGGGAGCTCATTCATGATTTGGCTCTTGGCTTGCCTGTTGTTGGTGGAAAAATAGTACACATTAATTGTTAAACAAAATTAAACAGACAGTAAAGGAAATTAAAACTGCCTGCAATCCCATTTGGTAATACTACTATTTTCCTTCAATATTTTGTCTATTCAACTTGTATATTTTTACATTACTATTATCTCACATATACCTATGTAATACATTTCTAATACTGCTCTTTTCACCTAATATTAAATCATGAGCTTTTCCCTTATCATTAAGAAGTTATTCAAAGACATAATTTTAGTTACTACATAATGTCCCATTTTATGGGCGGTCCATACTTTATTTTACCTTTCTCTATTTTTGGCCACTTACGGTCTTCCCTTCTTTTGACTATGGTATTAAACATTCTTGTACATAAATCTCTTGTGCAATTTTTAAACATTTTCTTAGAGTTTATTCCTTTAAGTAGAATTAATAAATCAAAAAATATGAATGTCAGTGGGACTCTCGATTTATTCTGCCAGTGGAATTCTGTTGAGTCATTTCTTTTTACATCGCCTGGTGTTCTGTTAAGGTTTGAAAAAAAGTAAAATAGAAAAATATATGCCAAATTAGTTGTATTAATTTTGAATTTAAAACACTTTTTGTATCATCATTGCTATAATTGAAAAAGATAACAATCCATAGCCAGCTTTGATAAAGATCATCACTGTCATTTTTTAGAGCAAAAACATCAAAGACTTCTCTGAAGCAGATCTCCAGGCTGAAGTGAAAATGTTCATGATTGCAGGACATGACACCACATCCAGTGCTATCTCCTGGATCCTTTACTGCTTGGCAAAGTACCTGAGCATCAGCAGAGATGCCGAGATGAAATCAGGGAACTCCTAGGGGATAGATCTTCTATTACCTGGTAAGATCTGTATGCCTATTTCATCCTGAATTTTCTTCTTATACATTTGATTATTTCTCTCTTCTGGTATCAGTGAGTTATTGTGCATTGAGATAGTCTGTGTGCATTTGAGAGGGTAAGGGTGCAGGCTAGAGTCCTATGTTATTTAAAGATTATCACTAGTTTTTATATAGAAAAACATTGTGTCAGTCACACAGTATTCAGTATGCCCTATTTTATTCCTTTCCTCACTTCAGGCAATGGTACAGTTGCGGAAGGAATAGTCTGCCTGCCTTAATTATGTCACGGAAGGCAGGAATATAACAAACCCCTCTTTCTCCAAGATGCAGATGGACTTCTTAGGACTCCAGCTTTTACCACCTTAGATTGTCCAAGATGTTCAATCACTTGACATGAAAGAGAATTCACACCCCTCTTCCTCATCACCATCTCTGAACCTTAAACACTGACACCCCACAATTATGATTATCCTTGAGATGCTGCGTATTTATGGTGTTAATAAAACCAAACTGATCATGTTTTAAAAACTTTTAAAATGGTGAAACATAGAACACATTCAAAAAGTACAGGGAACAGATGTACAGCTTAAAATGTTGTCTAACAAACAGCCATATAGTTGCAACCCTGGTTTAAAAGAAAAAAATTGCACATGACTAGCACTGCTAAAAACCTCATGCCTGCCTTCCCATCACAAACCACCTCTCTTTCTCCAAGATGTGAATGTTTTCCTGACTTTAATAACATTCATTCTTTGTTTTTGTTTATGGTTTCGTTGCTGCCATGCAGGGTGCCCTCCTTAGATAGCTGAGCACAGTTGCTTTTTTTTTTTTTTCTTTTTCAGTCTTCCAACACTTATAGAAACAATTCCTTGTGTTATATTCCTCTGTTTGAACTACCTACTGCAGTTTCCATTTTCCTCACTGATCCTTAAATGTAAGAGTTGCATTCATATAAATTATTACTATAGACCCCACAGTGAATGTCATGTAAAGAAGACAAAACTCATCTTCTTTTAAGAAATACATAAAATAACCTGTGTCTACCAATCACTAGCAGCTCTTCCTGTTCTTTCCGCATCCCAGCCCTGCATTTTGGAAATGCACATGAATGGAATCTTTGAAAATTAAATATTGATTTCCCATTTACTGACACACTCTTTCTAGATTATTTTATTTTCCTATTGAATGATTTCCATTAAAATGTTTTATAATATTATGTTAAGCATTCAAATGTATGCTAATCCAGAGACTTAAAATTTCTTTTAGGAATTGAAAAAATTAGGTAGACTGGACAAAAGATTGCATCAAGGCAATGCCTTCTGGTAAGGGATACTATCTTGTCTCTATGGATGCAGAAAAGAGCACAGTTGTCCATGATATCTTCTAAACCAATAGAAAGATAAATTTCCCTGGCCCCCAAAGAGATCAGAACAATAAAGATGCTGTTTTCAAATAGCAAATAACACAGGAAACCACAAATATGGAAATAAAGCCAGAAGGATATGTCTCAGACTCCCATAAGGAAACAAAACTTTATTGAATGTCTACTCTATAACAGACACTATACTATGCCTTTACATAAGAACTCTCCTTTCATCTTCTCAATAACATTATGAAGGAAGTGTTGCTATGGTCAGTTTGACAGGAGAAAACTACAGCTCATGGAGATTATTCAGCTACTAGGAAGTGGAGCCAGGATTTGAAATCAAATGTGACTTGAACCCTAAAACCCAAATTTTCTAAAATTTAGCTTGTGGGAGTAGCTGCAGAAGACAGTTGGTTCCAGGGTGACTGCCATGAACACCCTCAGGTCCCCACATGTTGACTCTGTGGTAGTGGATGTTAGTGAAAGCCTTCATCTGACTTGCCAACACCATAGACCCAAAACACTGGGGACTTAGAAAGACGTGAGAACTGTCTCTAAATACATAAATAGTTGCCAAGGCTCCAAGAGTTTTGGGTCTGCTATTCAATGACTGAGAGATCTTGGGTATGTCACCTGATCTCGTTGAACTCCTCTTTACTCATCTGGAATTGAGTGTAACAATAATACTACATACATCACAAGGCGGGTGGTACAGATTCAATTATACAAAAGTAATAAAAGAACTCTGAAAGCTATCAATTTATAAAGAAATTTTGAGTGTGCCAATGGGCAAAAGTCATAAGAAAGGTTTGGGTTCAGTATTCTGAAACACTTTTGTGAATGATAGCTGCCTAAGGATGGAATGACTTGCTTCCTGAGCTAATGGGTGCCTCCATTACTAGACAGGGACATTGCCAAAGTTCTTAATACTTAGGCAGAGGAAGGGCTCTCAATTGGGTCTAGACATGGGTTCATGGTTGACCAATGCCATGAAATCATAGACACATTGTTGGTGCTAGGAGCATGTACAAGTTTCTGGAGAAGATTCATGATATTCTTCCTATTTGGGAAAATGTCTATGATTCAGAAAAGGTACAAAATAAAAACAACACTTGATATAACTGGCAACTTGGTTGGACATATTATACTTTATGGAAAAAGTTAAGGTTACTGTTCAAGAAACTGAGCACTCTTTTTTGCTTCTGTGTCACCTCCCAGTTGAGGGAACAAGAAGAAAGAGTCACAGTATTTTGTCCAAGCCTATGTGGCTCCTTCAGGATGCTTGCCCACCCCCTCCATTTCTGGTTTACAACTGGATATTTGGTAATGAAAACTACTCCTTTCTTTTCTCATGAACCTCTTAACGGTTTTTATAAAAAGTAACAGAATGGGAAAAAATCACAAAGAAGAGTTATAACCAAGGATTATTATCCACAATATATAAAGAACTCATAAAAATCAGTAAGAAAAAGACAACTCTATAGAAAAACAAACATAGTGTACAGATAAATCACAGAGAACAATACAAAGATAAACATAAATGGCCAACAAATGTTTTTAAAATTTTAAATAACTTAAATATTAAATAAGGAAAATAGTTAAATAAATTACAGTACATTCTCATTACAGAATACCATGAAACCATGATAAGGAATGAGGTAACTTTTATTAAGTGAAAAAATCAGTAACAATATAGGTATTGTCCAGCAATTTTCCATTGTTATTTTAAACAGCCCTGAAACAAACAGTAGAAATATACTGTTTGTACCAAGTAAAAGCAAACCGATCTTGATTATCAGGATAGACAGGAAATGAAAAGAAAGCACTGATCACATCAGTAAGAGCTGACAGCTTACTTTAACAAAAAGGTCCTGTATAGAGGAGTTTCAACAAGATAATAATTCATTTGTCTCCTACATAAACGTCTTTCGAAGTTAGATGGTCCAGAGGTAGTCAAGTAGTTTGCTCTACAAGGTCATCCTGGCACCTAGGCTCCTTCTACACTGTTGTCCTGCTCTTTTCAATATATGGCTTTCAGTGAAAGATCTAAGATAGCTGCTCTAGCTCCTACCACCAGTCGCCTTTATGAAAGTGGGAAGGAGATAAAAGCAAAAGGGAAGGCATGTACTTTTCCTTTTGAAGACATTAGCTGGCTGTTGTACACATCACTTCTGCTCACAGTTCTGCTCAAAATCTAGTCACATGACACATCTCATTGAAACAGAGGCCGGGAATTATGGCAACCACGAGCTCAGCTAACATTTCTATTTCTGTAGGAGTGGAGAAAGAATGTTCAAGGGACGTTGAGTCACCTTTGCCACAAATAGCTTATGTTTTAAACATGGACTGGGATGTGTCCTTTAAAATAGAAGCAGTATAAAGGGTAGTACTGACTAGGTAGGGTGTCACATCATTTACAGTTCAGTAATCAAGAGTCATTCAAATTTCCCGCAGGCCATCTGAGTTAATTTATAAAGAAAATAGCAAGGCTCACCACAAATATAATTATTGCTGTAAGTTCTAGAATGCACCAAGCACACATGACCATAGGGGCTGTAGGCTTCCACTTACCCTTACTCCATGCTAAAGCACTGGACATAGGTTACAAACTAAACTGGTGGTCAGGGAAAGCTGCCCCCAAGTATTGGTGATTGATATGGTTTGGCTCTGTATCCCCACTCAAATCTCACTGTAATCCCCATGTGTTGAGGGAAGGACCTGTAATCTCCACATGTGGAGGGAGGGAGGTGACTGGATCATGGAGGTAGTTTCCTCCATGCTGTGCTTGGGATAGTGAGTACCCGGAGATCTGAGGGTTTTATAAGTGTTTGATGGTTCCTTCTTCAAATGCTAACTCTGTCACCTACTGTCATGTAAAACGTTCCTGCTTCCCCTTTTCCCATGGTTGTAAGTTTCCTGAGGCCTCCCCAGCCATGCCGAACTGTGAGTCAAACCTCTTTTCTTTATAAATAACCCAGTCTTGGGTAGTATCTCTATAATGGTGTGAAAATAGGTTAATACAGTTATCTTTCCAAATAGTGCATATGGACACAGAGAAGGCAACAGGAAAATAGGATCTATATCAGTTATTTGAACCCTGCCAGATATTTTTATATGGGGTATTTGAGGCCACTACCTTTGAGAACTGAATCCTCTCTATCCCCTCATAAACTCTTGGCAGGATATGAGTTTTGTTACACTAAGCATGGCGACTCTTCTATGTGGTTAAGGGAATTCTTGGTCTCACAAGCTACCTTCTTTCTCATACTTAGCCTCTCTCCTTATTAGATGCCTCAGGGGCCTACACCACTTTTACTATAGGATTTAGTCATAACCAAAATGTCCAGCAAGGCAAAGTATTGATGACTGCATAGTGAGAGCAAACCAGTCACAAGTACTGTCAAAATTGTTCCTATAATCAAATAGGATATCTTTGGTTAGTCTTCCTAATCTTAGATTTCTCCCAGTCCCTAACCACCTATTTCCAATTAATAAGTCCTAGCTTCTTTACCAAATGCCACCCAAATCCATTTCACATTCATTTCCCTTCAACTTCACCCTTGCCAAGCCACCACCATCTCTCCTCTGTACATTGCAACAGCTTCCTAACTGGTTTCCCTGTTTCCCCACTCTTG